TTGCTAAGCACATGTTCAAAAAAAGCTACAGCTGCACAAAGAAATTTCATGTATCCATCTATATTTGGCAGCCTAGAAGCCAGCCAGTATATAATGCCCTACTTCCATGTTATTAAATTCTCTTATCCACATCAAAATAGGTCATCTTCATGGAAAGGGACTGCTGAGAAAAACACCTTAACTGTGCTAATGACTCAAAACTCTCAAATAAGTCTGAGAAATTTTTACATGATGTTGAACAAAACTCCAGGGGCTATCCTTATGATATGTATGCATGATTTAAATGTTCCCTAACACTCTCCATCCTTCTTCAAATCTTCAGAGCGAAAGAAAATGAGATTGTGTACTTTATTCTCTTAGCATAAGCAAAAAAAATCTATAGGAGTACTGATTATATGGCAGAGTGGGAAAAAAAGCCCTATATGACTTGGCAAGCACACAGCAAACATAGGTGGTTCAAATAGAAACAGAAGGAAGAGTCACTGTGCTAATGGTGAAGTGGAAAAACCAAGCGCAAATAAAATATAAACAGCTTATCTGGGACAGTGACAACTGATTATGTCAGTACAGAAAAAAGTGGAGAGACTCAAATCTGGAAGAGGTAGCTTTGAGAATACAGGAATTCACCCTTTACCAAAGGATAAATTAATTAGCTACATTATTAGGGAGTTAAAAATAAAACTAAACAAAACTAAAGAAAACTAACAAATACTTGGGAAGGAGAAGGAAATTACCATGCATTAGTTACTAGATAAAAATGTGATCAAAGGTTAATTTATGTCTCTTCTAGGATAATGCGGACAAGAATGAATGTTGAATATAAAGGCAGACAGGATGAGGAGGAAAGAGAAGGGCACAGGAGGGGGAGATGGTGATTTGCTGACGTTAGGGTTCTAGTCAAGTGATTCATTGATATTACAGTCCAAAATTTATAACAATCTCTGCAAGGCTGCTGGTTTCACAATCAGCTTACACTTGCAGACTGTTTCTGGACCCTTTCAATTTCTATCTTCCATCACACATTGAAACAGCTGAGTACAAGATATATAATCAACTCAGAAATGCAGTTTTAGTTTACTCAAAATTCACAGATAAATGGGAATCAGACTTATTCAGTATTTTCTGACAATACATTAGAATATTTCAGCTTGGTATGCAAAATCAAGATGATACAACTTTCTTGAATGCATTTTGGCATTGTGGTAAAAAATAAATAAATTAATAACATCAGGTTGAGTAGCATTCAGCAGGATTCAACCTTCTCTCCCTTTGTGATTCATAGCAAGGTCTGACTCAATCAATCACCTAATCACTGCGTGAATCTGTGTACCCGTCCTGTGTAAGTAGTTCTCATTTAGTATAAAATAAATAACTAGTTGCCAGAAGTGAATTAGAATATCTTGTCTGCCAGGCCATTTTCTTAATCAAGCACTTCTTTTATGAAGACAAGCTGAAAGAGTTGAGGTTATTTGATAAGAAGAGGCTTCCAGGAAGACCTCACTAAGGCCTTGAAGAACTTGAAGAGAGCCTACCAAAAGGATGGAGAGGGATTTTTTTTTAGGGAATGTAGTGATAGAAAAATGGGTAACAGTTTTAAATGAAAAAAATGTAGATTCAGATTTGATATAAGGAAAAAATTCTTCACTTTGAGGATGTGGCACTGAAACAGATTACCGAGAGAGGCTGTTGATGTCCCATCCCTGAAAGTGTTCAAGGCCATGTTCAACGACATCTTAAGCAAATTGATCAAATGACAGTGAAATTGGAACTAGATAATCTTTAAGGTTCCTTCCAACTCACATCATTCTATGACTCTATGAATTCATGCTATGATTCTACCTTTAGCAATGGAACATGCACAGTAATGCAGGAAGTCAGTATGCTAATGAGGAGTCGGACAAGACATATGTAAAACACATTTGAAAATAAATTTCTATGAATAAAATCTTTGAAGTACACCTTTCCTTCTACTTACTAAGAAAATATCAATTTTGAAGTGTCTCAGTTCTCTGAAATGTGGGCCAATAGATATCTGCAGGTCAAACAACTCTGACAGAAATGTATAATATGCAGAGGTTTCCCCTTTGTTACACAGCATCTCCTCATTGCTGTGAGACATGCAAGGTGGGAGTTCCCTACTGAATATGTTCAAAAATATAGGTTCTAAATAAAAAATTCTATGTTCAGCAGGATAGTCAGTGAGTGGTGTTTCATCACTTGAAGCTGATATCCCACCTGAACTTGCCTGTCTCCTTAAAGGACCCTTGATGAGATGAAGGTATTCCACTATACGGTTGTTTTTTTTTTGTAAGCTTATAATGTATTTTTTATCACTGTATCTACCTCCAAGTGTTAATAATAAATGTTCTCTCACTTCTGCTGTGAAATCTTTTCAGCTTACCTGAGTTCAGAAAATATATGTAAACTTTATCCTGTGATAATGAATATCATCTCATTTGATAAAGTAATCCAGAGCATGACATCCTTGGTATAAGCCCTTTGGGAAATTTCAGTCCTGATTATGAGATGTAAAAAGATTTACATAGTAGCAGTTAGTGTTAATGGACATTTTGTTCCCTTGTTAAGTTTGCATGTAGACTTTCTATCTTTGTTGACCTATGATGAAGGCATCACTTCCCACTGTTAATATTAAGGGTTCTCTAGGTCTTGGCTTGAACATGAGATGTACATAGACCTCAGTGAAAACGCTTATTTTTCAACTAATTTATGAGGCTTATTCCAAAAGTAGTGCCCTCCTATTTTATTATGTTGGCTCAAGATGTTGGCCCAGAAGCAGATATTGTTGGTATGGCAGTAGAGGTTGAGTCTTCCCACCAATATTCTGTTGAATTTTGTAGCCACATGGCAGATGGCAGCAGAAGGTCAGTTTGACAAATGGTCAGTTTGGCATATGAATAGGAGTGAGTACAAAGCAAAGGTGAGTCACCAAATACCTCCACGAGAAAAAAATTGCACCCATTGACATCCATAAGTGCTTACTGAATGTTCCTGGAGATCAATCAGTAGATGTGAGCACAATGAGATGGTGGGTAGAGTGTTTCAGGCGTGTTAACGGTGGCAGTGGATCACCTCCAGTGGCGTAAATTTTGATGAGAGCTGCTTGCAGGGTCTGGTTCATTACTGCAAAAATGTATAACTAATGGTCTTAACTACTTTGAAAAACAGTGTTTTGTGGCTGAGAATTTATTCTATCAAATAGTGTCATTGTGCAATTCATATCTGTCATAGTTTCCATGGAAATAAATAGGAGACATGACTTTCAGAGCAACCAACATAAAACTCTGCACAAGTATCCTTTTAGCTGTTTTAGGAAAGTGAATGACTCAATTTTTCCTGGCAGATAGTTACTCTAAATCGTTGCAATGCTTTCAAAAAGCAAAATAAAAAATTACAATAACCATATTAAATTAAAATTAATACTTTTTTTCTTTTTTTTCTTTTTTTTTCTAGCTCTAACTATCTGTGTGCCGCACATGAATTTCAGGCATGCCTCACATCATCTCACATAGTGTTTAACCAACTGAACTGTCTAAGTAAATCACCACTGATCAGGAACTTCTGTTTTTACTACTCTGATTAAGAAGTAGCCATTACTTTATGAGAATATAAATGTCTGCAACAGATCCAGAAAAAGATAATGTTTCAGATCACAGCGTGCTTTGGTTAAGCTTGTTCCAATACAGTGCAGTTTCCATACTGATGTTTTAGCCTGTAATCCTGCAAACATGCTAAATATTACATTCAATATTAACATGAACCTCCAATTCTCTTCTGTTTGTTGAGAATCTGTTATTCAGTTTTTGGGACGTTTGATGTAACAGAAGGAAAAGTTTTTAAATCCCATTAATGTGCAAAGCTTGGTCTCCCTTGATTTTTTTTTTCTTTTTTTCATAGCAATGACTGGACAAAGATGTCATTGCTACAGTGCATGGATAAGATGCAATCTCAAGGCTACTTTCTTCAAAGAAGATGTAGTCCATGATCATGAAAACTGTTTGATGCATGTGAGACTAATGTGTTTTTTTGAAACCCTGTAGAAGATGAAGGCATACAATGAGACAGAAAATGACTAAAATCCCTGACAGCAAAGGAAGTGAAAACTGAAATTAGACACAGTAAAGATAATTGTGCCCAAATATCTTTCCAAAGCACTGAATATTCATTCCCACTTCCAGGAAGATGTCTTATTTCCTCTTGCATCTGTGACACTATTCCAGGAGTAGGGGTTTGAGCGGAAAGAAAGAGAGAGAATGCAGTGGTGGGGCAGTTTAATGAATGGTGAGGACAAGGGCAGTAGGAATGTTGGTTTCAAAGAGACTTTCTGGATGATCTGCTTGTGGACCAAAGCTGGAGCATCTCACAAGTGTTCTTACAGGATGTGACAATAGACAAGGAGGCAACACTGGCTGCAGTCCATGACAAAATAAAGTAAGTGGATATTTGCTCTTGAGGCAAAACAGTCTGGGAAGCAAAATGAAAAAGCTAAGGATATCCTGAGAAGTATAGTATGAAACTGTCTCATTACATGCAGTCAGATAGAGAAAGATGGAAAGGTAAAGCATTAATACCTAGAAGAGAGAAAGGTGTGAGGAGAAGGGATTAATATTATCAGAAAAGGGGAGACTTGCTAAAAAACGTGCACCTGTACAGATTGTAAGATTCATTCCAGTTACAGGAAAAACAAGCTTCATAAAGTTTAAAAACTTTCCTATGACCACTGCAATTCTAGACGAAGAGTTTAGGAAATTTTATGGATAGAAGGACACAGATCCAAAAAACCCCAAAAAACTAATGTTAAAGCAGGTAAATGAAGGCTGCAGTCACACACACTGGGAACTACGAATGAGAACTAGCATAGATAGTTTTAGTGCTTAATAATAATAATATCTGCATAATGGGCATGTTAGAAATGTGAAGGAAAGATTTTTCACTTTCACTCATAGTTATTTGAAAATTAATACATTTGGAATACAACATACTCTTAGGAAATCTGGGTGGGTTATCATTGACATCTGTGAGAGTTATGTTTACAGTTGTGGTTCCAGCTAGTCCTCCCAGTTGTCCTCCCATGTCCTTGGCTTGGATAAGAACTTGATATTGTTCTTTCACTTCTCTGTCCATATTTGGCAAAGCTGTTCTTATCACACCTATGAGAAATGGGAAAGAAAAAGAATGGGTAAATTAAGGGCTGCAATTGTCTACTACTACATTTTAATGCTGGGTCTCTTAGACCAGAATGTCTCTTTTTCTAAAGGATTGATACAAGAGCAGTTCACATACTAATAGGCAAATCACTTGAGCATTTAAAAGGTGTGCGCACCACCTGTTCAGCTATTGAAATGACCACTGTGACACTTCAAGTAGGACATAAATGGTCAACAGAGAATACTGCACATTCACTAGGGATGTAAACAGATGACAACGTATTTCAGAGCCTGCATCTTCCATTGCTTCAAACTATTAATTGGTCAACACATTAAAGCTACAACAGGCCAAGACAAGATGTATTCTGTAGAAAAGAAATGGTCTTTATTAGAAGACTCTCCTTTTATCAAGAAAGTTTCCTGGATACAACACAAAGATGCAGTAAAAACATCAGGATTTTCCTTGAAGAAATGCAAACAAAACTTACTCAAATGACTCTTAATACACATTTCACAGTCCCCTTTCTGATACATTAAGAACGTATAAAATAAAGAAGTAAAAAATGAAAGGAAAAAAATGAAAGAGAGAAGGAGGCAATAGTGATCATACGATTAGTTTATGAGATTGTAAAAAACTACAAGGTTTTTGGCACTCAAAATCTATCTCTTAAAAGCAAATGTATGCGAGAAGATGAATTTTCTGTCAAAATTTTAGAAGTGTGTATTACATTGCATATTGATATAGATTAAACAATAGATTTTTCAGAAAACAGCTAGATGGAGATAGCTGCAGGTTGCATATGCAATTAAAAGTATATCAAAGGATGCACTCTTCTTCTCTAAATTATTACTTTTTCATAAAATGCTATTTTCTAGTAACCTGTATGGCTTTAAAAGTAGTCTTTTACCCTTGGTGTTTTAATGGATCTGGACTGATAAGAAAAAATCTTGAAGGCTCATTCTTATTTTTTTCTGTCAACTAACTGCTGCTACATTAACAAGTAAAAATAGGAATTGCTAGCTTACAGTATTTTTTTCTCAAACTAAAAATAACTTTGACCCAAATATTTTTATGGAAATTATTACAAATTCCTATTAAATTAAATTGTATAGCAATTTCCATTCTCTCCACTCTCCACTGCTAATAACAATGGTTAACAATAACCACTATTTTCCACCTCAGCATGGCATTTACTGTACTGTGTAGATCTAGAATATGACTAGCAAATACTTAAGAACAATTACAACTCTATACTTCTGAGTATTAGAAAACAATTGATGGTGTTCAGTGTTGTTTTTTTTTTTAATTTCAAGGCAGAAATCTTGAATTGTAAAACATTGTAAAAAAATTTTCATGTACATACTTGTGATTTTTGAGCATCAAAATTACGTGGCATTGTGACAGGCATCAGGTAAATAGCAGAACCATTAATAATTAAAGTGAAAGGCAATACTCATGAAAAAAAAATTATAGATAAGATGAACATTAATATGTCTTCTCTTAAATTTCTGAATTCCTATTTTCTGGAGAGTGTATATTCCATAATATTTTACAAAGTCTTAAGTATGTTCACTCTGAGGAGTAGAGAATGCGAGAATTGAGAACTTCTCTTGCTATACCAGTGAAACATAATAAAAAGCACTGAAAATAGGCAGTGTCATGAGCAGAAGATGAATGTCATCTGATTATTATATTTGCTTTAAGTACTGTTGATGGTTTTCTGAGTTAAAAACATTCCTGACAGTCTTCAGAAAATGAAGAAGTTACTATCATTCCAGTAGTAAAATTTCCAGTTACTCACTATTTATTCCTGTCTGAAAGTATAAAGGTATTCTGTTTTGTTTTTGTTGTTGTTTGTTTGTTTTCTGTAAGAGGTCTTTGTCCTCCGGGAGAGGAAGGAATAATTTTCATGTCTAACAGTTCATAGTCAATTTTCCCTTCTCCACCTACTCTCTTTCAAAAGCTTTGGGGAAAAAAGAAGAAAAACACTATTTCTAACAGAATCCATTTGTATGGATGGGATACAGATGAGTTGAAGTTAGGCAGACAAGGCAAAAGAGAGAGAACTATATTAGAGATAAAATCCATTGGAAAGAAGACTACAGACTTTGGCATTCCAACTTCAGTTTCATAAAGAATATGTAAACTTTGAACTAAAGGCTTATTTTAATATAGAAGTCCTACATGTACTTGAGTTGTTTAAAAATGTGTTTTTAAATCCTTCTAAGATTTTACAATAAAGATCATTCAGATTCTGAACAAAATAACTTCTAATTTTTATCTTTTAAAAATTTAAATATCAAATTTGCAGAAAATAAAACTGCTGAAAACTGATAATAATAACCACAGGTCCTGAATAAGAAGATATGCCCTGCAGTGTTACTCAGACATAATTCAGTAAGATAACTCACTTATGTGGACGATAAGGAATATTTTTTTGGGAATAAATTCTTTTATAAATATTAATGACAATATTCCTCTCAAAACCAATCTCGATTCCAGTAATGTAACTGAGATAAGAATATGGACCAGAATGACTGATCTTAAGAAAGAACTGCAGATATATGTAAGAACATTGACCATATAACCACGTTATAAAATTCGATAGAAAGAAGTTCATGAAAAGGATGTTTGAGTAACGGAACAATACAAAGGACTGTCATCTGTCTGAAGAGAAGTGCTCCATGTTAAAGAAATCTGTTACAATTTTCATCAGGTGAACAATCTTACAGCATTGGAAATAAACTCCCACATATAAAGTTTGAGGCCTCAGAATATTCTGCTCCAACAGCTGCATTCCAGCAGACATAGAAATGTATTTAACCTTCCTGCAAGAGTAACATAAGCTTGCTCTCCTGCTCCTACACAGTCATGCCTCCCTGCAGCAGACCCCTAAAGACAGCTGAAAAAGCCAGCATCATCAAAATATGAGCAAAAAGGCACCTATCACATTCAAATCCATAATCACTAGAGACTATTTCTAAATTCATATCAGAATAAATTATCTATCAATAATAACTAGACAAAGGATTATATGTGAAGCTATATGCATGGCAAGTATAACCATAATTTCACATATAAAAATTTAATCAGTGATTTGACCACTAATACTTTACCATAGAATTTTAAGGCAGCAATATAAATTTCTGCAAAATTACCAGCTAAAAAAGAAAAAGAAACAAAATGATGGTCAAACCATCTTTTGGATGATATGAGCTGCTTTCTGGAACAGTGTGTGTGCATTCTCACCCTTTGATGTTGAAAAGAATGCTTCAGAAATGGGAGAAGCCCAGAGGAGAAGAAGCAGTGTAATGGAATGGTTTATGTTTGAGAAATTCTTCATTCTGAAAAAGAGACAACTAGGAGAGAATATGATATGAGTATTCCTCAGAGTTTAATGGGGAACTTCAAAAATTATTGATAGGAGTTAATTGTTCACAGCCTCTCACAATGGAAGAAGTGCAGGGTATGAAAAAAGTTAAGAGGTATTGGATTTCAAAGAATGAGAACTGGTTTTTCATCCAAGAAAACTTTTGTTACCTTGATATGATGCACCTGGACATGTCAATTCTACTGGGAAGTGTACCAGTAATGGAGGAGAAATCCTTTCAGAGTTTTCGGTTACAGGGACATTACTTACCACTGAAGAAGTATGGAAGAAGAAATTGTCGGAAACTACAAGAAAAGTGTGGGAATGCATCACTAAACTCTTGCCTTATTTTATCTAGAGTTGAACAGACAAAACTTTTGTAGACATGAAGCAGGGTAACATGAGACTTTGCTCTGATCCATTATGGACTTTTTAGTGTTCCTTAAATAATTACAACACAGTGCCTGAAAATTGTCACTAGAGAGCAAGAGATGGCAAAAAACAAAACAAAACAAAGCAAAACAAAAAGAACAACAACAACAAAAAATTGTTTATCCATTTTCCAGTAGTTCTGAGTTTGGTCTGTCATTTTGTATCAAAATGACTTTCTTCCCTTTTTCTATCACAAACACTCAAGGCAAATGTTCTGCAGCAAGACTTTGCAATAAAAACTATTGCATTGTCTCTTCAGTTATAAAATAAAACACTGGAAATACCTGAGGATCTATAATAGTGCTTGAGACTTCTGGATTTTTGATCAAGAAATTAAGACATCATTATTCACTTACTGTTTACACTACAGACATTGTTAAATCCAGAGATAATTCTCATATTGCAATATTTTAATATAAGACAAGTATTAATAGATAGGTATGGAAACACTAAATTTCTATGATATTACAACCATTTAAAGTGCTGGTGTGCAGGGTGAAGTTCTTACTTAATAATCATTGCTTTTTTTTTTTCCTGGGAAACTTGCACTAGAAGTCAAGTTGTGGCTTCAGTAACTGTCTTTACCACCATTTACTACCTCTTCATTCTTTACAAGACAGAAATAATAATAATAATAATAAAAAAAAGTATGAAGGTAAATACTTTCAGCTCTCCCAAGACACTTAAGAAGTCACATTTCAGTTTTAAAAGTAAAGTTGCTGACTGCAAATTGCAACACAATCTTCTGCTAAATGGAGCATGTGACAAAAGATTGTGCCTGCTGGAGATAGTGCACTAATGGCCTTAGGTGGCTCTTACCTCCAAGCTATTGATTGATCAGGAGGAGAGGCTCTTTAACACACAATCTGACATTCAAGGACAGTTTTACTGGAAGGAGAAACTATTTGCTGAAAGAGGCATATGGACAACTATCCCTGTAACGCATTCAGGATGACACAATGCTTGGCAATCACCATGTAGGTTATTGGTTCCTTAACTGAACTGCTAAATATAGAAACAAGAGTGACATTTAAAAATATAGGACGAGATACCTTATTAACAGGTCTACCAACCTCCCAAATACATCAGTCTCTTTAAATGCATCATCCTTTTCTGCTCACACATTCTGTAACATGAGACATGCTATGTCCCAGGAAAAGAGGAGGACAGAAGATGATTAGCTGTTGCTCAGTCTCAAATTAGCTCAATACAGTAAAACAATCATTTCTAGGGAAATCTGGACTGTAACTTTAGTGCATTAAAATTGCCAAGAAAAAATGAATAAAGACCTGGGACTGAATCATGAAAAAAAAAAAAATAAATTCTAATGCACACAACAGATGAATCTTTACCTGTAAACGAATGGCAAAACATCAGGAAAAAACTACTTAATGTATACATATTTTAGATATTCCAGGATTATTTGGAAGAGGGTGCTTCTTTTGCTTCTGGAACAGATTGCAATTTATTAAAGCAGCAGTCCACAATCAAAACAAAATTAAGTGCAATGTTACTCCACTAGCTTTTCACCTTATCAAAATAGCCCATATTTATTCACTGACATTGCCAACACAAATTGAAATCCAAAGGTTAAATCTTCTAGTATTGCTGATAAACTGTTTACCTGTCTTTGGATCAATGGAGAAATAGGGTTGCCCCTGAAGAATGCTGTACACCACTCTGGCACTATTTCCATAGGTAGGATCATCAGCATCTGTTGCCTTTACTTGGAGCACGTATGCACCTGCAAAGAAACATAGGTAATAAAAATTTCAGTATAGAGCAGTGATGGTGGACATTTCAGACACATCAGTAAAGCTACTAGCAGATTCTGTTGTAACTCCTGTTCCACTGGATACAAGGTAAGAATAAAGTAGAAAGTTGTTCAGCCCCATGCTAGTATGCATCTAGGTAACAACTGAGGAAAAATGGGAAGGAAAGGAGAAGTCCTGTATCAGAAGATTTTTACAAACAATTTATGATGCATACATTATTCACAATTATTATTTTTTAAATCTAACATATATAAGAAGGAGATCTGGGAAAGCAGAAGACTGGATTTTTAATACTAGTTTTGTGAAATGATGGACTTATCCTTAAGGTGTGTGCACAGACAACTGCACAAGTAAAATATGTGCTTTGACTTCGACACGAATGTTTGTTCAAGCAAATCCTGAACCTGTAAATGAACCAATCTCTAAGTCCTTTTAAAAAACTATAATGCAGTTTCCTTTAAGGTTAGTTCTGCAGTGCTTGAATTCACACTCACATTACAAACTGAAAGTGGGTGTTAGTTTAGTCAGTTGTCTGTGAAATCTGGACTTCAATATTCTCTTTCCAATACAGTTCAATTGGAAACCCGATCACCCTGGAAGTAGAGCCTCCCTTTGCTGCACAGTTTTCAGTCATGATTAGAGACAATACTCAGTGAAATAATCTGTGTTATGCTCTGATTTAGCAGCTACCAGAGCCATGCACATGAAGACAGAAAGAGAGAAAACAAAAAATCATTTTTAGTGACAATTGTTCTACACACAATTCTTGTCCTTCCCCCTGGTTGCTAAATAATTTACCCATCTCTATTGTCCCCAAATTAAAATAGTGCTCAAACTACATTTTCCAACAAAACATACAGCCACATATCAAGACTTTCCATTTAAATTTGAAGAATTAATGTTTCCTATGATCTTATGTGAAAATGAACATTAGAATTCGCAGAAGACAGAAACCACTTATTACATGAGCACTTGAAGGCCACCTGTGGACTCTACCCCTGTGGAAGAAAAGGCAAGGTCTGTTCTTTTTGGAATGATTACATTGACAAATCATCACATAGATTTCCTCACCGCACAGTACAGAACCTATCTCTGGTATCCATGAGATCGTCTCCATTCATCTCTGCAGTATCTTACCATCTTTCCAACACAAAAAACTCAGTCTATTTTTTCCTTTGGAAAGAAATACTACTTTTTAACATATTAGCAGCCTCCTCCTATCCCTAAGTTGCTCATCCATTCCATATATTTTGACTTTTGAATGAAATTTATTCCCCTCACAGGTGGAAAAATTAGGTTCCCAGGTTCTGAAGTCTGAAATTAAGCTGGTTGACCAGAAGTGGCCTATCTGGCAAGTGCTTTGGAACTGATTTGAAACATCCTGCACTTTTACAAAGACACATATTCCCAAGTCTCCTCTTAGGCCAGAACATGCGTTTCTGATGCCCTGCTGGTCACTGAAAAGGGAGCTAATTTTAGTTATCTTCTATATGTAAATTGACAAAGTTTTACTGGCTTATCACTAAGACTTTTGCTTTGAACCTTAAAGCAGGCAATATTCTGCATAAGAGAACAGGACAGACAGAACAAGGCTCACAAATACAAAAGCTGGAAGTAAACTCATATAAAAGCCACAGTGGTTGGGAGTTGGTTTGAGACCTCATTCTCTATCCCAACATTTGCATCACAAGCCCTAAGAATGCTTTAAACAACAGCCTTTTTGTGGAGTATTGACTGGATTCTCTTTCCAAAACCATCATGACCAGACTCCTTGTTCTCACTATACCAGCATCATTTTCCTCCAACACAAAAATTATTTTCCTAAAACAAATATATATTGATAGAGAATAAACCAGAAGGTGTACTTTCATGATGGAGTTCATGATACCTATTAATATTTGATTTCTACAATGTGGGCAGTGACTTTCATGCCAGGATTATTTGCAGACACAGGGTGAGCACATAGACCCTGGCAGCACAGACCAGTATTGCAATGTGGGCATGTGAAACACCACAGCTGAATCTATATCTATTTCTATGCAAAAAAGTTGAGACTGTAAGGTGAAGGAAATGAATAGCAGCCATCAACCTGCTAGAAAATGCTGCAGGTGACCTTGGTGTCTGATGGTCCTTCACAGACCAGTTCTTAGCGGCCTACTAATATTAGTTTACATACTTTTGTACATATATTCTACAAATAATTTTGCCATTATAAAAAAGAAAGAATAAATGGTGATTTATAAATTAAGCTTTATTAAAGCAAACTTTCTAAGTCATCCTTTAGCTAGATCCATTGAAAATATTGAATATGAAAAATAGTATTTCCCAGTGACAGCACTTTCAACTGTATTAATCCATATTTAACATGTTCTACAACAGGTAGCATGTAAAGCTTGCATTTTTATGAGAGGTAAAGTTTTGTTTTTTTTTTTTTTTTTTTTTTTATGGGCCATCAGTTATATATTAACTAAAATATATAGCTAATTTTCAGAACACATTTTCTGAAATTGTTTTCTCATCCTTTCAGTATTATCAAGCACTGCCAATAAGTTTTCTAGTTTACTGTAAAGCATAAAACTAATACAGTTTTAAAAGTGGATCTAAAATGGTTGGTTTTGTTGTTGTTGTTGGTTCAGATATTTTTGTTTTGTTTTGTTTTCCAGACATAGCACAGGACAGTGGAGCTGTAAATCTTTAACGCATGAACATTGGATCAGAATCATAGAATCACTCAGGTTGAAATAGAACTTAAAGATCATTGAGTCCAACCATGACCTAACCATACTACCCTAACTAACAACCCTCCACTAAATCATGTCCCTGAGCACCACATCCAGGCTTTTAAACACATCCAGGGATGGTGACTCAACCACCTCCCTGGGGTGCCTATTCCAGTGCTTAACAACCCTTTATGTAAAGAACTTTTTCCTAATATCCAAACTAAACTTACCCTGGCACAACTTGAGGCCATTTCCCCTCATCCTGTCCTCTGTCACCAGTGAGAAGAGACCAACCCTGCTCTTACTATAAGCACCTTTCAGGTATTTGAAGAGAGCAATAAGGTCTTCCCTAAGCCTCCTTTTCCCCAGACTGAACAGCCCCAGTTCCTTCAGTCTCTCCTCATAGGGCATTCTCCAAGCTCCTCACAAGCCTTGTTGCCTTTCTTTGGACCTGCTCCAGCACCTCAATGTCCTTTCTGTGTTGAAATGCCCAAAACTGAACACAGTACTCGAGGTCAGGCCTCACCAATGCCGAGTACAGGGGCATGATGACTTCCCTAGTCCTGCTCACCACTCCATTCCTGATACAAGCCAGGATGCCATTGGCCTTCTTGGCCACCTGGGCACACTGCTGGCTCACATTCAGCCGACTGTCCATCAGTACACCAAGGTCTGTTTCTGTCAGGCAGCTTTCTAGCCACACCTCCCCAAGCCTGTAAGGTTGTCTGGGGTTGTTGTGACCAAAATACAGTGACCAACCTGACACTTGGCCCTTCTGAAACTCATGCAGCTTGCCTTGGTCATTTGATCCAGTCTATTCAGGTCCCTCTGTTGTGCCCTTCTCCCCTCAGGCAGATCAACACTTCCATCCAACTTGGTATCGTCTGCAAACTTACTGAGGGTGCACTCAATCCCCTCATCAAGATTGTTAATAAAGATGTTAAATTGAAGCAGACACAGTTCTGAGCCTTGGGGTACACCACTGGCTGCCAACTGGATTTAATTCCATTGACCACAACTCTTTGGGCCTGGTCATCCAGCCAGTGTTTCACCTAGTGGAGCATATGCCCATCCAACCCATGGGCAGCCAGCTTCTCCATAAGAATGTTGTGGCAGACAGTGTCAAAGACCTTACTGAAGTCCAGGTAGACCACATCGACAGCCTTACCTTCATCCACTAAGTGGGTTACATTGTCATAGAATGAAATCAGGTTTGTCAAACAAGATCTACCTGTTTGTAAATAGATGCTGACCGGGTCTGATCCTGTGATTGACTTTTAATTGGTCCATGATGGGTCCCAAGATTATCATCCATTCCATAATCTTCCTTGGTACCAAGGTGAGATTGATAGGTCTGCAGCTGCCAGGATCATCTTTCCAGCCCTTTTTGAAGGTGGGTGTCACATTTGCCAGTCTCCAGTCCACCCGGACATCCCCAGTTAGCCAGGACTGCTGAAGAATGATGGAGAGTGGCTAGGCAACCACATCTGCCAACTCCCTCAGCACACTAGAGTGCAATCCATCTGGCCCCATGGATTTGTGAGCATCCAGCTTTTGGAGCAAGTCCAAAATCATCTAATCATGGATCATGCAGGGTCTATTCTGTTCCCCATCCCTATCTACCAGCACAGGGGGCTGTATTCCCAGGGAGTAATAAATTTTACTGTTAAAGACTGAGGCGAAGAAGGCATTAAATACCTCAGCCTTATTTTGACCCCTGGTCACCAAGTTGCCCTTGACATCCAAAAAGGTTTGGAGATTCTCCCTAGCCTTCCTCTTGCTGTTGATATATTTATAAAAATATTTATTGTTTTCCTATACCTTAGTGGCCAAGTTCAGTTCTAGCCAGTAATTGGCCAGTCACAGGGGATCACATTTATTATAGTTATTATTTATTATATTATTATTATTGTAATTCCAATATGCAACTATATGCATTACATAGGGTAACCAAATAAGCATCAAATTACAATATTTATTGCTTAGAAATAACATAGAGGTAAGTTAACATTTAAAAAGAATTGTATTTTAATAGTTGATATGCAATCAACAAATATTTGATGTAGGGGATGGTTCCAACCAGTTCAGGTTGGTTCTGATCAGTTCTGATTGGTTACTTCTGATGCAAACCAATTCAAACTGGTTCTGACCTCAGTGGCCTGAAGCAGCCATACCTACAGAAGAAATGCTATCATTCCCTGCTTTAATTTTTGAGCAATAGCAGCTTTTTGCAAATCCATTTGCTGTGC